CTTTGGTTTGGTAGCCAACTTTGTTGAATTGTGAAAAGTGTGTGTAAATTGTCAAATATGGTAGGCTTTAGAGAGTGAAGCTTTGACTATAAAAAGAGAGCTTCAACTCTCATTTCCACACACCAACAAAGAGAGAAAGAAAGAGTGAAGTTTCACATACAAGGTATAAGAAAATAGTCTGTGAGGAAAATAGAGAATGAGCGATATTGTAGTGAGGTGGGAATATCAAAAGAGGGTTATTTTCTTTTGAGTGTTGTAGTGGTATTTGGAGTATTTATCTCCGACCTACAAAGTGTAAAATTCCTTACTATAGTGATATCAGTTGCTCCTCTCGGGGTCGTGGTTTTTTCCCTTATTCAGAAAGGTTTTCCACGTAAAAATCTTGGTGTCATTATTACTCCTTTATTCTTGTTAATTACCGTATCTCGGTGCTACATTATTATTCCGCTTTATTACCGTGAATATTATTTTGGTAAGGGGTTTATTCCCAACACTCTTCTCCTCCTCCTCCTCCTCCTCCTCCTCCTCTTCTTCTTCTTCTTCTTCTTCTAATTCCCTCCCCTCCAATCGTCCTTCACACCTCATCCTTCACCTACATGTATCACTACTCGATCACAAAATAACATCTTCAAACCTAAACATAACTTTGACTATATGGCCATCTTACCTTCTCTACTCCCACCTTCCACTATGAAGCAGGCATCCAAGGATCCAAAGTGGCGTTTGGCCATGCAAGAGGAATTTGACGCTTTGCTCAAATACAAAACTTGGGATCTAATACCTCCTGATCCCAAGCACAACATTGTTGATAACAAATGGATATCTCATATAAAACAGAAGTTTGATGGTTCTATTGATCGTTACAAAGCACTATTATTTGCCAAGGGATTTACACAACATCCCGGTGTTGACTTTCATTCCACATTCAGTCCTGTAATCAAGCCCACAACAATACGCATTGTGCTGTCTCTTGCCACTTGTTTTGCTTGGCCCCTTCATCAACTAGATGTCAATAATGCTTTCCTTCAAGGTCATCTTAAGCAACCAAAAGGTTTTGAACATCCAGACTATCAAAATCACATATGTCGCCTTCAGAAGGCCATTTATGGGCTCAAACAAGTCCCACGAGCGTAGTATAATGAACTCAAGGATTTTCTTGTCTCACTTGGTTTTAAATATTCTCAATCTGATGGTTCCCTGTTTATCTTTCACTCAATAGTTATAATGCTATATCTTCTTGTTTATGTTGATGACATTGTAGTGACAGAAAATAATGAGATCTAGACAGCTATCAACAATATCAAGAATGCCTTATCTAAACGCTTTTCTGTAAAGGACCTTGGGCTACTGCATTATTTTCTGGGTGTTGAAGTACTTCCAAATGCAAATGGTTTGATCCTTTCCCAATCTAACTACATCTCAGATGTGCTCAAAGATTTTTCAATGGAAGAAAGCAAAGGTGTTCACTTCCCGCTATCTACCTCCACGCAACTTAAGTTGGATGATGGCTCTCCTCTCATTGATGCAAAGCATTATCGTTCTGCTATTGGCAAATTGCAGTACTTAGCTTTCACACGCCCTGACATAAGCTATGTTGTGAACAAGCTTTCTCAGTTTATGCATCGTCCAACTATAATTCATTGGACTGCTGTCAAACGTGTTCTACGCTATCTAAAACAGACAATAACACATGGCCTCTTCTTCAAGAAACAATCTAATCATGCACTCCACATTTATTCCGATGCTGATTGGGCAGGTGATCTCACTGATTGATCATCCACTTCTGCTTATGTCATTTATCTTGGTTTAAATCTCATTAGTTGGTCCTCCAAGATACAATGTTCCATCGCTCATTCATCCACCAAAGCAGAATATAGAGCAGTTGCTGGAGCCGTTGCCGAAGGAAATTGGATTATGAATTTATTATCTGAACTCCATGTTCCTATATCCACTACTCCAACAGTTTACTGCAACAACATCGACACCACTTATCTCTGCTAAAACCCAGTATTCCATAGTCGGATGAAGCATATTGCAATTGACTTTCACTTTATTCGTGATCAAGTTCAACAAAATCGCATCAACATTGTTCATATTCACTCTGTTGATCAACTCGCTGATATACTCACTAAGCCCCCAGCCACTGCATCGTTTCAACGGAATCTCATCAAGTTAGGAGTCGTTAACACTTTCCCTAACTTGAGGGGGCATAAAGGAACAATATTAGTTGTTGCTTAATATCATATCTAACAATATCATTAGCTTGATTTCAGATTTGATTTTATTCTAAAGATCTGATTTTATTTTATGATGATTGTAATATGTTGGGATTAGGATTGTATCTTTGTAATTTAATGTCTTTCCTTTCACCTTACCTATAAATCTGGGATTCAATTCCCAATTAACTGTATAAAAAGGAGATCATCATAATACAACACATACAACTTTCACTCATTCATCTCTATCTCTGTTATGTTGGTCGTGGTCAAAATAATGAGGTGCCATACCGGAAGTTAAAAAACCAAATATTGACAATGATAAATTAGATTAAGAAAAGAAAATATATCAAAGAAGAAATTATAATTTAATATGATTTTGTCAATGTTTACCCTTAAAATCGGAGAACAATTGACTTTATACGCAGTTTTAAGGATACGTGATATAACTTGATACAAATTTAAAAAAAAAACAGATTAATATTGAAATTGATGATAAGAGAATAAATGCAAACCACAAAAATTGAACGGCCTTGGCCTTTGAGTTTGATCACCCTCGAACCAAGAAATACCTCAACTGATATATGAATAACAAGATGATAAGAGCTAGAGATAGCAATGTATTGCTTTTTGCCGCGTATTACAATGTGTTTTACAAATTATCAAACCTCCCTTTATATAGTAGGGGAGTCCTACTCTTGATATAATTCTATAAAAGATAACCAATCTCGTGATTTGCTCATTGATCGGCCTCTCCTTGACACGTGCCGAGATTTCTGCGGTGATCTCCAACCGATCCAGGATACTTCGGCCTTCCGTTATTTGGCTCGACAAAGTTTCCTCGATCTTGTTAGGTCCTGGAGTCATGAGCTCAATGATTTAACTTCGCACCTTGGTTTGATATAACTCGGGCTCGAGCTTTGACCTATCACGTTTCAATCTCGGCCAGTCATACAATGGACAAACCCGATTTCACTGATACAATCAATTAACCAACATAAATAATTTAATAAAAAGGAAAAAAAATTACAAGAAAATAAACAACTCAAGGATTGAGGCATATGACATGCGCCTAAGCCGCACATCTTTGTGTTGTATTCTTACCGGTTAGACCAAAAACCTCCTCCTTCTCTCTAGGAAGAAGGGTGAATAGTAATTCCGACACTATTCATCGGCCATAATTCCGGAATCCGGCGGTGGATTGTCACAAATTTGGTGTCAAAAGAACCCCTTTCTCTTTGCGAACAATCCTCATTTGGTTTCATCATCAATTCTATATCCATTTGGGACAGATTTTAAATTTTTCTACACTATTACTATAGCTCCGAGAATTCCAGATTTTCAACTAGGCATCTGTCTCCGCGATGTAGTGTAGCAATCTACTGTAACGTAGTTGAAACTGTTGCGTAATAGAGCCCTTCCATGGCAGCAAACGTCTCTCCCCAGCCTTTGGCTGTGGGAGAGCAGAATTCAAACTCTAATGAAGTTATTTCAAACATTAACAACATTCGTACATATGCAGCAAGTTTGAATCACAAATAATCTGCCGCACCTCTCACAAAAACGACTTTGAAACCTTTTGAAATTGTTCATGGAATCCATACGATTCAGTTTTCATTGGAGGAACGTGAAGAATTTGCAAAGGAGGAAGGATTACACCAAGCTGTGATCATTAAATTGTCCAGCGACGCACTAAATCTGCAGGTTTTAAGGAATAATCTGCTGAAAATCATTGGCATCAAAGGTAATTGCTTGTTAGGTTCATTGGCCCAACGACAACTCTTAATTCGTTGTGATCAATATGAAGATTATGTGTGTTGTTTAGCGAGATCTGTGAATTACTTTCAACACAATGGAAAAGAGCATCAATATAGAGTTTTTCCATGGACTGTTGGTTACAATCCTAAGGAAGAAACCTCTAAGGCTGATGTTTGGATTTCGCTGCCGAACTTGTCGCCAGAACTATTTGCACATAAGGCTTTACTGTCTATTGCAGCAGTAGTGGGAAAACCTATTGCAATTGATAAGGCAACTCAAATAAGATCACGTCCTACCACAGCAAGGGTTAAAGTGATTGTGGATGTACTGGACACACTTCCTGAAAAGGTTAGGCTTCAATATCTTGATGCTAAAACTGGTAAGATTGTCGATGATTACCAGGAAATTATCTATGATAATTTGCCTTCGTATTAGTGCCATTGTAAGCATCAAAGAATGAAGAAAATCAATGTCGACGCTTAAAAGGAAAGGCAGTTCAAGATGCTCGTGTTTGTGATGAAACAGTTGAGAATGAGCATCAAATAGTTGAAAAATTGCAGGGTGTTGCAAGAGTGTTTTTGAATGCTAAGAGAGTCGGGAAACAACCTATAGAAGGATCACAAAGTGATAATAACACTAGGCAGCAGGTGTGTGATGATTTGAGTAAAAGAGCAGATGCTACAGGTGTTCGAGATGTTGTGCAATTAGAAAAAACTAGTGGAAGTAAGGGTCCAGTTGTTCATGATCGAGATATGAATTCCAAGGGTGAAGCAGCTGGTGTATATGTGGTTTTGGAGGCTGGGCAACCTGGTCAAGGAAGGGATCAGATGGAGCCTCAGAATCTAATCTTATCACTACAGGTACTGGGCAAAATACTCTAGCGCAAGGGCAGAAAATAGCAGTTGTTTCTAGTGTTGCTACAATTCCAGTTTCTGCAACTCGTGCTAGGGTATCGACGGAATTGAATTCTGTTACAGTTCCTATATCTGTTCGTGCTTCATCAGGGGTTACTAAAGGACCAGGGGATAAGCAAAATTCTGATGAAGTTGAGCGTCAAACAGTTAATGCACATGTGATTCTTTATGCAGGCCAAGCTGGTGCAATTCTAGAAAACAAAACTGATGCTCCTGAGTTGAAGAAAATTGTTGATCGAGTGGTGTCTAAGATTGATAAACCTACTGCTGCAAATACAAAATCAGCAGGTTTACAGGCTGAAACTAATGACGCTTCTAAGGAAGGTGTAAAGAGTGATAACATTCATGGGAAAAAGGCTGAAAACTGGACAATGGTGTCCAGCAAAATAGGATCTCCAAGAAATAAAAAAGTGCAGCAGCTGGCGCAAAAGCAAGGAGTTGAATTTTCTAATTCTTTTGATGCCTTAAGCAACGACCAGAAACAAATGGTGAATAAGGAGAGGAAGAGTATACAGCAGGTTCTGATGCACGAACCTTTTTTGGATGATACTGCGACGACTATGAAACAGTGTGATCGCGAGGCAGCTACAAAATCTGGGATGCATAAATCTCCAGGCAGTCCAGAACAGCAGATACGTTCTAATGCAGAGGCACACAACTCCAATGCACCTACATTGCATTTCTTCAATCCACAGGTTGAACAAATTATTAAAAATATTCAAAAAGAAATGATGATGAACAATCTCATGGTCAAACAACCTTTGGTCACCTTAAACAAATCTGTTTTTGAGGTTCCTTCTCAGTCAATGGAATATTGTGGAGAGGTTGAAGGTGAAACTGGGCAACTTATGTTATCAACGGGGAATAACAATGATGCTATACAAGGAAATTTGAGGCTGATGGCTATCAAGTGTAAACTTTGGCAAGAACAACGGGAGGATGATGATGAAGAGGATTGGGGAGATGGTTTTGCTGGCTATTCATCAGAAGAGGCTGATAGTGAGGCTAATCATGAGAGTGAAGGTGAGGAGATTGATTCCTTAGCGATGGTAATATCTGAACGAGTGCCAACAGCAAGTCCAACGAGCAATTTGAACTCCAATGCTCCTGCATTCGTTCCCAGAAATCCTTCATCTCCAACTTTTCAAAATGCAGTAGCTGGAACACCTACAACTACTGTGCAACAACAACAAATTAATCCTAACACCTCAAACACAAAGCCTAAGGGTGATCGAACAAAAACAGGAACACCAACATCTGGGCAGTTCCAAACTGTGACAACAAGTGCTACTGCAAGAATATCTACAAGGCAAGGTACGCCAGCTGCAACTCATATAGGTGCAACATCGACAAAATAGGCCACGTCAGGTATCCATACAAGTCCTATTGAACAGCAGCAACAAAATGATCCAAACGCTACAGCTAGGACTCCTACTGGTGATTGCAAAACAGTAACAATTTCACAAGTTGGGCAGCAATAGCTCGTAACCACTGCTCCAGTTATTTTGTTAGACGAAAGACAACTTTTGGATGCAATGGTAAGTTCTGATCCTAAAAAAGCTTTAAATCATGCTATTTCAAGCACTGGTGATGAGAATATAAGCAGGAACAAATCACAACAAAGTAAGGCAAGTCTGGTTACTGCACAAGCTGGCAATATATTGATGACTCAGGGTGTTTCTCAAGACATGCCAAATCCACTATTGGTAGGTAGAGATATATATGAAGAAGGGGAGGAAGATGATATCTTAAATCAATGTCGGGCAGAGGCATCAAGAAAAGGTGACCTATAACCTATGCATAGTGGAAAAATAAAGAAGGAATATACAAGGAAAAATAGTTGGGACAACAAGGTCAACGATTTTTTAAATGTTAGGCGACCTCC